GCCCAATTAGACAGCATTTGTGGAGTTGATATAACCTGAAAGGTGAATATGGGCTTTGCCAAGAAACAAATATCTTACAGGAAATGTTCATGCTTTTTAAAACGATTGGGAAATCATGAACACATTGCTATCCTCTGATAACTTCACGAAAGGGCTATGGTACAGTCGTAGATGAAGATCTGCTTTGAGAATGCGGACCGTTGAGATGGAGGAAAGTCGTTGCTGCTGACATCGTCTACGGGCAGACGTCACATGGGGCTCATCTACTGAATTCTGCACCCTGGTGGCGTTTAAAGGGGTGCGAATGATGTGTGTTTCTCCTGAAGTGGTAGTTTTGTCTAAGAATTTCTAGTTTTGATTCTCTACTTGTCCTAATTGATGGACCATTTTCACCCTTGGCATCAAAGAAGGCCTTGAAGGCACTTCAACATTATTTTTGTACCTTGTGCGAAATTTACGAAATGAGTTGATGGCGAGGAAATGTTCAATACAAAAGTCTCTCTGCTCTTTACTAATCTTAACCATGATCTCAGTAGGCAAAGGAAACTTGAGAAAAACTATCTGCAAACTTCTTTTGGCCTGTTAGACTACTGTAGTTTGCCATAATATGGCACAATCGTTGGGATTTTTAGTGGTAAGCCTATTGCGAACTAGTGCGTCATGCTACAAAAATGGGGGTATAGCTGAAAATGGGGTTTCTTTTACGCCCTCTGTAGAGAAAAACTATTTGGTGGATTAATCTAAAATGAATATCAGACAAATTCCTTATGACTTCCAAATTTTTTGTATAAATTTGAAATGCAAAACTTCAATGTGGAGGAAAATATTAACCAAAAAAGTTGTACACTGTTTTTTGGATCAACCTGTATTTTTAAAGCAAAAACTCCTGTCAATATTCTAAGCTGATTCTGGAAATTGTTTAGTGAAAAAACTACTTTAGGTACTTGGTATGCATATATGGTTGTTTTAAAGCAGGTTCTGACCTCTGTTTAGATGTGGCACTTGTCGTTATGTGGTCATCGCTCGAGTGACTCTATTTACACGTGCTTCTCCTCTTTGGGTTTTCTGAATGACATTTTTTCCCCTTTAAGACAAAGACCATTGAGGAACAGAAGACAGGCCTTGCTTCACCTATAATGACCCTGTGTCAAGCAAAGGTCTCGACAAGAGTCAGCAGCTTTGACAGAAGAATTTAAGTTGCAAGACTTTTTGGATAGCATTGTTGGAAAACTGATGTAAGTGAGACGTTCTCTCAAATTTGAAAATCAGGCTATCCAGGACAGTGCTTTATAATATAACTGCTCAGTTATTCATTATTCCTGTTTCAGGGTGGTTGGAGGGCGCTACTGGTAGGTCCTACTTCTTTACTTTCCTTCTGTTGTTTCTGTCTGTCGGTTTTACTTTTTCCCAGCACTAAATGACCATCATGGTGTCGATGTGCTTCTCTTTACTCAAACTAACAAATTATTCCTGTTTGCTTCTACATGGGGCTAAAAACCCCCTCAAAACAAATGTGAAATAATAAGCCTGTCTTTCCTTACACTGGGATGTTGTTGGGGGCATGCCACAAATTAAAATTTATTATTTCGAAAGTGCTTGACATGTTGTAATCTTTTTTTTTTTTTCAATTGTCATCTGTGATTTCCGTAAGGTGACTTGCAATTGGGGGAAAAAAAGATTGAAATTTCTCTACGCCCATATTTAATTCTGCAGTTGTGATCAGAAGTCAGGCACAAGCTCAGACTGGGACAGTGAGTGACAAAGTGAAGAACCGACTGGAGCAGCTGGATGACTTTGAAGAGGTGAGTGGGAAAACGTAGAATGTTTCATCGGTCTCTTCTTGAAAGTACATAAGACTACAGACATTATTGTTTAAACCAGAAAACCAGTCAGTTGACAACTGGCCTTCATGCTTTTGTATGTGTCTTCTGTGTATGTAAGTGGGGGGGGGGGAGGATGTCTTGATAGTTGATTGGGAAGTAGAGTTGAATCAAAAGTCAATTTCTTTGAGAAGATTAAACAAAATTTTAAAAATAGGAGGCTTTATATTGTAGTTGTATGTTCCACCGTGCATCTTTTCTGCTTTCAAGGGTTCGGTGAAGGAAATGCTGAACCTGAGCCAGCAAGACTATGTGAAGAGGATTGAGGAACTGAACCAAGCTCTCATCACTGCTTGGGATGGAGACCAGAGAGTCAAAGCCCTCAAAATTGTCATTCAGGTGATCAGCAAAGTCATAAGTATCATGAGTAGATTAATTTTTAAAAAGTGATTTACTTCTTGCCATAGCCCTGAATTTTTTTGTCTTATTCGCATCCAAGTAACAGCTTTTAATGCTACAGTGAATTTTGTTGTGTTAATAAGTATAAAAATATGCTTCTGCCAGGCTGTGTGTGTAAAATCTTGTATTATGTGTCTGGACGCTGGAGTATTATTAAATTATATAAAGTTTTAGGTTGGGTTATTACACATCAATCTTAAAGCCAAAGATGATCCCTCAAGGAATCCAAGAATATGTATATCTTTGGCTGATAGATAGAGCTAGAAGTGATAATTTTCAAATCTCTTGTTTGAGGAAAACTGATTTTTATGGCAAGGTGTAAACAGGAATTATGTTGGCATAGACATATCAGAAACAGTGATATTGATTGGGCAAATCCAGTGAGTGGATTAGTTTGATACTTGCAGACATGTCGTTCTTTGCTGTGCTTCTGAAACCATTTTGCCTTTGTTTGAATTATGGGGGGCTTCCAAGATCTGTTATTTTTAAAAGTTATTTTCTTCGGTATATAACCCCCCTCCCCCCCCCTGAAATAAAAACCCAACCCCCCAAAAAACAACAACAACCCAAAACACTTCTGTTTGTAGCATTCCGGTTTTCCAATAAACAGACATGGATTTTCCCAAGCAATATGTTTATTTGAATTTTTCCAGTCTGAAATAAAACAACAAACCCTTATTGCTTTGAATTTCTTCAGTTTCAACTTCAATTTAGCTGTGAATTTATAGCGTCTCTTCCGTATCCATTATGGCTTTTTTTGTTGTTAAAGAAAGATTTTGTTTTGAGTGTGTTGTTTTCTCTTCCCTGATGTTTTATTTTCAGAGGTGCATGTGATTTGCGCTGTAATGATAATTCTATGTCTGTAGATTTACATTTTACATTGACAGCTTAGGATACAAATTATGGAACCCAAAGAATTGAAATGAAGAAAGATTCATTATTAGTAAACCAGTTTGACTAGCAGCAGTGTGCATTTGGTAAGTTCAAACATGTAATATTAAAAGCTGACATGTGGTAGCTGTTGGTCTGATTTCTGGGTTCGCAAGGTAGGATGCTGTATCCCAAAGAAAATGTTTAAATTATTTCAGTTCTCTCGCTTTGAAATGTCAGTTGGTAGAAAAGACATTTGAATGGTAGTGATATGCTACTTACAGGCCACAACGCACAACGCACAACGCTATCTGTTCTCTTTGGGACTGAAATTATACTGTTTGGTGTACATGCCAGCTGAGGGAATTATTGCAAAGTTGTGGGAGCATTCAGGGTGATACCTGAAAATTATCACTTGGCATTTAAATTCAGCTTTTGGTGAGGCTCACAAATATGTAAGTGAGCTTTTATGAGGTTATCATTTTGATTTCTCAATTTTGTCAATTTCAGTGCTCCAAGCTTCTTGCTGATACATCTGTGATCCCTTTCTACCCAAGCAAGTTTGTCCTAATCACAGACATACTTGATACATTTGGTGAGTCAAGTTTTTTGTGTGATATTTGCCTTGTCAAAGGTGGTGTTGGTTCTCTTCTGATCTTAAAGAGTAGATTTCCTCTAAAATGTGTTTGAGTTTGCTCTTGGTATGATTGAAAAACCCAACTTGCTACTACTACATGTTAATGATTTTGAATATTATTCAAAGTAGTCCTCCTTCAATAGCAGTTGAATAATGACATGTTAATCTCCATCAACATTTAGCTGGTGAAGATTTAGAGAAAAAAAAATCATATTTTACATGATGGTTAGGCTTTAAGGAAGTAAGAATTCCCCTCGTTTTGAACACACCCCCCCTCCCCCCAAACTCCACATTCCACCGAACCTTTCTGTGTTTCTTAAACATGGCTCTTTCTGGTACTTTTTTATTTCTTTACATATTGATGTATTAATTTCTTTTTTTTCCCCCTTAGGTCGCCTTGTGTATGATCGACTCCTAGACAAGGCTCAGACTGTCGTAGGCTCGAACAAAATTGCAAAGCTTCCAGGTGAGCCTGAACTTATACAGTCTTTTTATCACTGTGTTCAAATCTTCTCTTTAACTGTTCCTGAATGTTAAAAGGATTTGACAGACAAAAAGATGGGCTAGGCTGGTTTGCAGCTTTCAAGGATTATTCGTTTTTGATTAAGTTTAGAAAAAACAGGAATATTTTGTTAAGATGAAAATTAGGATCACTTTTTGTATTACAATTAGTCGTGTTGTATTGTGAAAGTGTTTCACAATTATGTTTTCTGTTGATACTCTATCTATTTTTGAACTCTCAATGTGTTGGATTCTGTGAGGCTCATCTGCCTGCCTTTGGCAACCATGTTGCAAGTTTATTCAACATGAACTCTTATTCTGACTGCTTAGAGTAAGATACCCCCATATTTCATTACAAAAAATGATGTATGACAAGAGCAGTTGATTTTATTTTCTAACTAGGTAGTTTATGTGTGTTCGAGTCCTGGAGTCTCAAGTGACTTTTTTTTTTTTTCAGCCAAGTTTACTTCTGATGAAGTTCCTGAAGCTGCAAAAGAAACATGCCGAAACTGGTTCTTCAAGATTGCTTCCATCAGAGAGCTCATTCCTCGATTCTATGTAGAAGCTGCAATGCTTAGATCATACAACTTTCTCCGCACGGGGTAGGAGCAACTTTAGATTGATTTTTTCCCCCTCTCCATTGTTGTTTTTCTTTTCATTTTTTCATTTTTTCCCTGGAGCTGCAGTGTATACTTTTTCTCTTTCATTTTTTTACCGCGGATGTGTACAGCAACAGGTATATTCGTAGGATTTTTTCCATGAAAAAGTGAGGTCCCTTGGATAAAAGTTGAAAATGGGGTGGGAAAAAATATTGTTAAATACAAGCCAAGGGAAATCTTTGCTTTGGACTTCATTTATAACATGAATTAATTTTACTGTAATCCTTTAATACATTTAATTTTGATTTAGTATAGAAAATTTCTCCCTGCTATTAATTGGGCAGGTAGTATTTCATCACATGTTCTTGTGTAAATAATTTTCAGTTTCTTAAATTCATATAAAACAACCAGCCCTTTGTGACTTTCCTTCATTCATATATGTTTTGAAAGGGGAACATGCAAATCTCCATGTTTCAATGTCATTGCTCATACATGACATATATGAGTATAGATAATGACTAAGCATCTCATTGTTTTTCCCCAGGGAAAGCACTGAAGTCATTGATCGGCTGTCCTACATGAGCCGTGGTATCGGTGATCCTCTAGTGGCTGTGTATGCCAGGTGCTACTTGTGTAGGGTGAGAAATCTTGGCCATGGCTGTAGTGTGATCATGATGCGCTTCTCTTTAGTTTTTTTTTTAAAAACTGTTTCTTATTAGATCAATATGTTTCATTTTTAAAAAGTAGATTACATGATTAGGCATAAGAATTGAAATATTTTTAACACTTTTCCGCCACAAGGCTCATATAGTAAAAACTCTTGCCATCAAAGGCAAAGGCATTTTGGGGAAAATCCAAAGAAACTGAGGGGTAAACATCGCTGATCGGCGAGATGAGGCGGCAAAGTGTTAAAGATTTGTAACTTAACCATTGTGTGCCTGGCTCAATAGGTATGAATACTTTTACCCATGTGTAGAAAAGTTAATAACAGACTTGTAAAATACACATTCATGTAAACATGATCTTGGTGTGTATATTTATTCTTCTTCTCAATACAGTGAACTTTTTGTGTGCAAAGTTTTGAAGATTAAAAGAGTTGAAATATAACTTGGCACTAAAATATATGTCTGCATAACATATAGTCCACTTTTTAAAAAACAGCTTTAGTAGACTTTCAAGCCTTTAAACAATTCAATAGCTTGATTATTTTCGGAAACTTCTCTTTGCCTGTGGATCACGTAATCCTCATGTTTCCTCATTCATCATCTTTGCCTTTTATTACCCTGGATCAGGATATAGGCCACGAACTTACACTTTCCACCTTTCCGTATCCTGGGCGAGTCGCTTGATGTCACTCCATGTCTTCTCACTTTTCTGTACATCTATTTCCGTGACTCTTCTCCAGGTTCCATGTGGTCTTCCCCTTGATCTTTTACCCTGTGGGTTCCAATCTAACACTTTCCTTGTTATGCAGCTGCTTGACTTCCTGAAAGTGTGTCCAATCCATCGCCAATGCCTGTTTCCCAACTCGTCTCTGACTGGGCTCTGTATCGTTCTTCTTAATACTTCCTCGTTGGTGATCCTGTCTCTCCATCTGATCCCCAGTAGCTTCCTCAGACACTTGTACAAGAAAACGTGGATCCTCTTTTTGCACGTCTGAGATGCATTCTGTCTTTCACGTCCATACAACAATGTTGCCTCATTGATACGAGAAAAATGTCACTACAATGATCTTTTACTGAACCTTCTTTGTTTTCAGGTTGGAATTCTGATTGCGCCAAAGTTCAGACCACATATACCCCGGTGCTTTGAGGATTTCATCATAACATTTCCACAAGTAAGTCATCTCTATGCTTTCTTGATTCCAAAAGGGGATCATGGATGTTGGGTGCTCTGTTGGGTCAGCTGGCATCGTGCTGGGTACTTGGAGGTTGATTTTGGAAGATAACTCTCATTGTGTGTCAAACTGGCATAAACCAATGGGAAAAACCTACCGATTATCTTGATGCTATTCTGCAGATCAAACAGCAGTTGGAGCTGTTGCACAAGTGTTTGTCCTTTCTTACGTCCCACATGAACAGCCAGTCTCTCTCTCTCTCTCTCTCTCTCTCTCTCTCTCTCTCTCTCTCTCTCTCTCTCTCTCTCTTTCTCTCTCTCTGTCTCTGCCTCTCTCTCTCTCTCTCTGTCTCTGCCTCTGTCTCTCTCTCTGTCTCTGTCTCTCTCTCTCTCTCTCTCTCTCTCTCTCTCTCTCTCTCTCTCTCTCTCTTGTTTGGTACTCTTGTCTATTTAGTGCTTGAAAATTTTTCGCTTTTGCAGGTTCAAGGAGAGAGTGTGCAGAACATTCTGGCCACCCAAAAAGTGGAGATGCCACGCTATCTGACCCTGATCTCTCCTGCCCTGGACTGGATCCTGCAGTGCTTGGCTCATCAGTCTTCGGAGACTCTGTTGACTCAGACACTCGAGCGCTGCAAGGAGGGTTGTAATAAGTAAGTCATGGTCCGGGCTTGGGTGGCACTTTGTCTCTACTTGCACAGTCATGTATTTATTGAGTTGGCAGTGGGAATTATGGGTATTTTCATTTTAGATTGATAGAATTATTTTGCATTATAGATTAAGGTAAGGCAAAGTTTTTTTAGAAATGTCGAAATGTCTTATGGACCTTAGGTTGCTAATCATTGGCAGGCTGTTCATCTGTTCTGACCTCAGAAAGCAACATTTTTCAGGAGAGAAAAGAAAATTGTGTTTCATTCTTTTGAGATTTGAATCTACACTCTTATCTTTTCTATATTTTTCCCCCCCAACATTTAGAATATGAACTTTGACAAAATATTTCTCATGCATATGCAGCCAATACCACATATTAAGTACAGTGTGCCTGAAAAAAAACACCCCACTTAAAGAACATTAACCTGATCATCATCTCTGCACTGATTTAAGAAAACTTTTAACAAATAATATCCGACCAAAAGACGGCAATTTATAAATCTGAAGATTTTTTGGAGACATTTCAAGTTTTAAAAATCTCAACCAAAATTGGGTAAAAAGCAAAGCCTTGAGCATTGGCTTATGTGAGTAGCAAATTTAGCTGTGACAGCAAAGGAGGCTAGTATATGAGTGAGGCTGGGATGGGAAGGATCTGGCACCGTGCTGAGGACATGTGCTCACAGGCATAACTTGGAACTGTGATCTATTACTGACAAGTCCAAACCAAGTGGGCGAAGACTCCTTTAGCAACCCATGGTTAAGAATGTCTCTTTAGGATTCATAGTGGGTGGTTAGTGGGTGCTCTGGTGTGGCTTGCTCTTTTTTTTTCTTATTAAAGATCTATAATCCTTATCTCTCCTCCTTTTCCTTGCATGGTACTCTTCTTGCTGCCTCTAATCTTCGGCTCTAATATGATTATATTTTGTTGCAAATGATGTAAACCCATTCTAAATCTAAAACAACCCCCGACAACTGAGGTTTAAAACAGAGTTCTTTGCAATCCAGCAAGGTATCAATATGGCTGCTAACACGTTAATGCATTCCCTGCTGGGTCTTTCTAAGTCATTGAGTTTGTTCTGACCTAGATGCCATGTGTGTTTCAGTGCTCTGATGATCAACTCCATCATGTCGGCCTTCAAGCCCCAGTACATCGCCAACAGGGCTTTGTTCTTTACAGAGCTCATCAAGAGCTGTGAGGATACTGGACTGCCAAAGGTGAGAACTAATCGAACAAGTTATTGTTGCAATTAACTGTAGCTCTTTTGTATGTTAGTTCCTCCTCTGGCATCTGCCCTTATTTACTGTAGTGGCAAAGCAGAGTGCTCACCATCACTGATGTCATATGATTATGATCTTTAGCATACTTTCAACTTTTATCTGCCTGTACTGAAAAATTTTACATTGAATATTAAATTCTACTATATCTGAGCATTTTTATATATTGAGTTTTACTGACTTTTCGCCCCAAAATCTTGAGACTCGGCACCCTTCTCTCTCCCCCCCCCCCAAAAAAAAAATACCAAGAAAAAAAATGGAGACATTTATTAATTGTTTCATCCTCAGCACATGCTGTACCGTACCTTAGGCTTGTGTCTTGTGGTGGCAGAGACTCCCGAGGACCAGCAGTTGTCTGTTCTCAATGAAGTTTGGAAAGCTGTTGTGAAGCTCAAGAACCCTACTGTGAGTGCAGGAAGTTTACCATGTTTCTGTCTTATGGTAACACTCAATTTCAACAATGCCACTTAGTTTAACGGGAGATGAACAACTGTTCCACAGATGAAACTGTTTTTCAAGAATTTAAGTTGTATTAATACTACTGGATTTTTTTTTACCTTTGAGATGTTGAGTGGATATAAACTCTTATGCTGTTAGATTCACTATAGCATAAATTATGAATAGATGTATCATTGTCTCCATTTTGTGGACTAACTAAAGGGGTAATTGAACTTTTTTGTACTCCAGTTTCAAATTCTTTTGAAAGTTTACCCGCTTTAGGACAGTTATCTGGAATTTGTCTAAAAGTTTTTTACATTTACTAAGGATATTGTTCCCTTCATCTAGAGACCTTTGAAATCAACATGTTATATGGTTTAAAACTTCTATTTTATTGTATTTTTCCAGGAGTACATCAGCTGTGCTGAAGTTTGGATTGAGTTTGTTGTAAAGCATTTTGGGGTAAGGGCTACTTGACATTTTTATTTTGTTTGTCATTGTCTGGAACTTTCTGGTTTTTGGAACACCAGACAAATTTTTTATAATGTAGCGGCCAATATCTTGATGGATTAAACGTTAAAAAAGTACCAACACTTCTCTTCATCCGATGTTGGTACTGTTTGCAGTATCACGTAATGTGTCATAGGACATGAAATGAATCAGGTGCAAACCTTGACTTGAGATGCTCTAAGGCCTGTCTGTCTATCATCTATGCTGTAATGGTTAGACTGTTTGCCGTTGCATGCAGAAAATATGAGTTTCATTCCCGAGTGGGAAAGTTACTTTATCAAGTATCTCTTCTGTCTGCTGGGATGCTGTGTTCCCACTCAAGTCCCAGTTGGCCGGACAGGGAGGTGGAAGCAGCCTGCCTCCTAAACAATCTAAATTGTGTTGATGAGAGTGTGAGATATTTCCAGTCCTTGCTATTATGGTCCATGTCTGTGAGCTTGTATATTCACATTTCACTGTGTATTGAAATGAAAAAGATGTGATATTTCTTGTACAATTTGGTCTATTTCCCACAAATTTTTCTGAGGGCAGGAATTGTAGAGATGAGCAAGTTCATATTTATTATGTGTATTGAATGGTGAGAGAATATACATCTTCTGTTGAACTTGTTGTAAAATATATGTCAGCAATACTCAAAACTTGGAAGCTTTAGATATTTTTTTTTGAGGAATTTTTTTTTCATGAATTTTATTAATGACTTGATTGAAAGTTGAATTGAATGTATCATAAACTTTGTAGAAGTCATGTCTTGAGTTATGGTGAAAGTTTCAACTCATGTATACTTTTGAGACTTTCTTGATAAAATCCCGACATCATGGTTTGATTTGTTGGTTTGAAATGTACGAATATTTTTTCAGAAACGAGAAATCAACACCTTTATTGGAGATATCATCAAACATATGACGCCTGACAGAGCTTATGAGGAATTTTACCCCCAGCTGCAGTCAGTGGTCAGCAAGATTCTGGCTCACCAACATGACTTTTCCCTCCTCTTTTCTTTGGTATGTTGTGTTGGAATTTCGCTTACATATGATGATATGACAAAATAGAGGGTACTTAGATACTTATGTAAGAGACATGTACTTGTTGCTGAATAAAGTCTTCAAAACAGCTTTTGCAAATATGCTTAGGACCAGAGAATAAGGATTGTGTCTTGGGGCTCTGTTATCTCAGTTTGTGTCATGATGTACTGTGATGTGGATGACCCTGATTTAAATCCCCAAGGAGATATTTTTGAACTCTTGCTATTTGAGAAGTTTTGATAACTTCACCCATTGTTGAAGACGGAAATTAAATTGGAAATCCCTCCTTTTAGAAAGCCTTTCAATTTTGTATGGGATGTTAGACCCTTACCTCTCTCTGTAGACTGCATTTTCAAGACTTTTACAGACCTGCCACTCATCCGGATTTAATCAGCACATCCTGAATTATTGCCTCAAACCTCAAACATCCTGATTTTGATCTCTCGTGTATCCTGATTTTTTTGGTGCCATTTGTTACAGTGGATTTTTCTAAAAACTTACGCAGCCTTCTTCTCTGTCGTGGGAAGCACCCGTCATACTTTTTGTTTGCAGGAACTCAGAACACTGTTTTCCAAAATATCAATGCCGGATTTAGTTGTTGACTCTCCCCAAGTTGTGTTGGATATCTGCTCGCACATGTTTATTCAACTATAATGGAAGTAGTATCGATTTGGCATTCGGACGTGGGACATTCTCAAGATCTACTTTCGCTTTTGTTACCCCTCAGAATTCTGCGATGATGGCCTGATAACTGTTTCAATTGCAGCATACAAATAATCAATATCATTCATAGTTCTGCTGTAATTTTAAAAACAAGCTTTGTCCAAGTTGTAGTTAGTGGGGCCCGTCATCAAGACCTGTCTGTAAAACTGTTTCTTTTGCATCACTTGACTTCGGTGTGTGAGTTTCGCGTGTGTCGAGGACCGTCCGTTTACGGGGTAAACTTAAGTTCGTGCACACTGATTGAAGTGTCTTTCAAGACAGGTAGACATGTAGACTAAAAGTCCATGACGTGGTACCTCAGGATTTAAAAAAAATAATGATAGCACACACACGCACACGTACACACACACACACACACACACACACACACACACACACACACACACACACACACACACACACACACACACACACACACACATACACACACACACACACACACACACACACACACACACACACACACATACACACACACACATACACACACGCACACACACACTCACAGAAGGCATATACATGGATATATTTATGGACATACCTGGAAAATTTTAAAGTCCGCTTGGCAGTCGCCCTGACTGATTTGTCGTTGGTCTCGATTTTATTCACCAAATCCCGATTTTTTTTCCACTGAGGACTGAGATCCTATCAAACGTCTATCACCCTTATCTCTTCTCCTTTTTTGTGTTTGTTACTCTCTTATAATACTTTTAATCTTTGGCCCTTATATGACCTAATTGTGTTGCAAGTGCAGTTAAACTGTTATTAAAGGAGAACAAAAGGTAAAAAACCTCTTGATGTGTCTTCTACCACAGGAGAAGTTCCTGCCGTTCATTGACATGTTTCAGCGGGAAGCTATCAAGGTGGAAGTCTGCAAATGTGTTCTGGAATCTTTCAACAAGTACGTCAGTGTGCTGAAAGGAGTGGTGGAAGAGAGGGGCTGGTGATGTTAAGGGAGTCTTGTCAGTTGTCTCTAGTGGTTAGGCTGCTTAACTAGGAACTTTAAAGGTTACATCTTTGAATCCAACTCCAGGAACGATGTTGTGTACTTAATTGGGATGTATGAATCTAGTATTGTCAAGTACTTTGCGATTCCACTCTGTAGGAAAGTGCTTATAATATTGAAGTTTAGTCCAACTAATAACATTATGTTTGATTCATTTTGATTCTTACAAAGTGAAAGCACTGTTGTCTGATGGCGTGAGCATCATATCACTGAGAGCAAAGGGGCCAGTGAACTCTCAAAATTTAGAAGTTAAATTTTGCTAATGACATTGCTGGATGGAAAATTGCTTGCAACAGGTATTGGTATTCAGTATTCAGTGCATACTAATAGATATGTTAATGGAGTTAGTTTTATATAACCTGATCGTAAATGGTTTTCATTGATGCTCTCAGGTATGGGTTTGTGATTGATTTGTGGAATCCAAACTTTCCATTATGGCTTTCAGGGGCAGTGGAAAATGTCAGGGAAATTCAGTTCTGTGTTAACATAAGAGTGATTCAATTTTGAGTCCAACTTGTGTGTTTTGTTATATATTTCTTAAACATTGTTTGTAATGTGAGTCTAGGAGAGGTTCATGCTTCCATTTCTTCTTTTCATACAGGCATCAGCTGACACCAGTCAATGATCCAGTTGTCATCAATGCTATGATGTTTCTTGGGAAAATCATGCACGATTCCGTGGAGTGAGTTAAAGCAATTTATTCTCAGTCAATATTTTTACTTTTTTCCCCCCAAATAGGCTCGGGTTTATGAATAGTCCTCTGTCCTCCAAACTGGGGGCAGTGCTTTCATACTCGCAGGGTGGCATTCACACATCACTTTCTCTCCTGTGTAGAGGTGGCATCCTCTGTCCTCGTTTGCTTTGTGTTCTGTCCAGCTCTCTTTCATGCAGATCTGTTGAAGAGGGGGTCCAGTCTTGCAAAGATAAAGAAAGACCCCTGAAACCTCACAGTGTAGGGCTTGCTTGAACAATGACTGACATACCTATAGTGATATAAAATTTTTGGCTCCACAGAAAATTCTTATTATGTGTAAAGAAATGGCTAGATAGCTAGGCTGTCTGGATACTTTTACAGCTTCACAAGTGGAAAGTTGTTTTCCTGAAGTAATCAGTGCGAGCTGGAGGGCTTTTGCTGTTTTTCTATATTTTAAAATTTCCGTTTTAGTTCTCATTCTGTATTGAGCTGATAAGCTAGAGAGTATAATTTGACATTAGTTTAGTTTTTCTGTTGTGCATACTCATTTGTGACTGACAGGATGAATATAATAATATATGATTTGAGATTGAGTATAATTTGATAGGCCAGGTTCGTGAGGGGTGAAAAATTTAAGAACATAATGAGAATTGCTTTTCCTTTTTATTTCAGTGCTTTGACATTGGACGATGAAAAGCGAGTGATTGGAAACTTATTGTGTGGGTTCATTCACCTAGTTCAGTTTGGCAGGGACTTTGAACAGCAGTTGAGTTTCTATGTTGAAGTCCGAGCAGCTTTCAGCAATTTGGATTCTGTCTTGGTCACACTAATCCAGGTGAGACTACTTGCTAAAGGATATTTGGATTTTTTAAAAGTGAGTAAATACCCTTATGTTAAACTTTCATTCAAAGCAGGTACTCTCTAATGTTCTTTAGTTTTTATAAGTTACATCCCAGTATTATAAGTAGGTTATGGTTTACCTGTTGGCTAGTTTTCTTATGATCTGCCTAACTATTCTCAGTATAACATATTTACTTTGTTTTGTGCTGGCCCATGATAAATAATAAGCAATAAGGAGCACACATTGTTATTTACTTGAGCACAGCTTAAAATCGTTAAAAAAAAATTCTGCAAACTCTTTTCACTTTTATGACACCTTGATTTGACAGTCAAGGAGAAGTAGCTTGTGTGGGTGGTGCTGCATTTCAGTTCTCACATATCAAATGCTTCTAGTGCTGGGATGGACAAACTTATAAAATGCGGGATCACATCGCGCTTTATGCGTTTATACAGGCACATTGATTTTTAAGAAATTCTAGCTGGCCCATGAATTCACTGCGCCAGGAGTCACTTGTGAGCTGTAGTTTCCCAGCGCCTAATTCAATGTTTTATGTGAGACAGGCAAGTAAGAATAGGAACAATCTATCAAAACTCAAAACAAACTAGGTATTTCAAAAGATATTTCTTTTAGATAAATCTTTTTGATGTGAAAAGGTGTTAAAAGATAATATGGTAAAAATGGTTTCTTTGATTAAAAAAGTTTTTCATTTGCTTCAGGACTGACACTTCTGGTGTAGTCGTTACACTTTTCTCATTGCTCATATATTTGAGTTTAAGTACATTTAGGGTAAATGCTTAATTAAAGAATTATATTTGTTTTCTGCTGGAATGTACCCTGCACAATGTGGGCTGATCATGACAGGCATTGTTGGCTTAGCTCGCCTCCAAATTTGTCTATATTGTGTTGATAGAGGCATAAAAGATTAACAGTAAATCATAGTAACACATCCTGTGGTAAGATTTCCACTTAGGTTATAGCACGATATGTGTAATGACATTAATTTTCCTCTTGTATGTTTTTCTTGAACTAGAGTGTGAATAACTTGGCTGTGGAAACAAGAAAAATTGTCAAGGGGAACCACTCAAGAAAAACGGCAGCATTTGTGAGGGTAAGCATTTCACGATAATTTTTGTCTAGTTTGTTGATGTGTCGAGTGTTTAGTTCTTCTCTCAGGTTGCCGGTTACATGAAGCACAACCACATCAGTATTTATACGGTGATTTACACTGTTAAGTCTTCAAGGCATATGTAATTTTATTGTGGAAAAATATAAAAAGACTTTTGCTGTGTTTATGTTTCCGATCCATATTAGGCTTTGTTATTTTTAAGGGTAATTTAGCAATTAGAAAGAGACTCTGTATAAATATATTTAGAAATTTAAAAAATGAAATAGTTTTGAAAAAGAAAAATGTTGGTATTAAAAAAATAATCTTTTTAAAAGATTTTTGTTTAAAGCTTTGCCGTTCTGTCATTTTTATATGCTGCAATTATCTCTTTCCTGGAATACACTAAATACTAAATATTGAAATTCTCTTTAGTTTGCAACATCATTTGCTTTCTACTTCTCCTGGGTAGGCGTGTGCTGCCTACTGTTTCATCACAGTGCCGTCCCTGCAGTCAGTGTTCTCACAGCTACAGCTGTACCTCCTCTCTGGGCAGGTGGCCCTACTCAACCAGTGCTACTCTCAAGGTCAGCTAACTTGTTTGTTTTGCATGGGTCTCAATATTCCGCTATTTAGCGGATTTCTGCTACCGCCATTTCCTCCGCTAAACTGCCCTACCGCGACAGCGGGCCAATCAGAAAGAGAGTTTTGGGAGCAGGGTGACTGCCAGGCCCCGGGAATTTTTAAAAAATCGCAGATCCCGGGAAAATACATAAAAGATCTAGAATATTTGAAAACCAAATCCAATAACGTCTTAAAGTTCATTTCTGCCGGTCGCGATTGTGATATTAATACGGCTGTGAGAGTACGTTTCATGTGAACTGGCGGCTTTGGCGGCAAGCGGAATTGTGTCACCATGGCTCGACTGACTGGAAAATCAAGATCTACTTTTGCTTTCGTTACTACCGCCCAGAAATTTGTCAGTAATTGTCTGATAACCCAACATTTATTGTAACATGCAGGTTCGGCATTACAAACGTGGTGTCGCCATGAAATATATCAATATTTGTCATTGTGCTGTCACTTGTGGGGGCAAAAAAAAAAAAAGAGAAGAAAGTTCCAGATTCTTGTCGGGCTCGTCATTGTGACCGGTCAATGAACCTGCGCGCGTTCTGAGCGCCACGAAGTACAGGACTGCGGAATGGGGGGGAGATTATTGATTTCTTTTTTAAAGACGCACTTGGGGATAGGGGGAGGGCTAGATGCAACACCAGAGGACAAAAAAACTGAAACTAGAAGCAAATGTTTAATGTTTAGAATTTTGATTACTACTACAGCTCTCTGCAAAGTAAAGTGTGTGTTGGTGCAAGCCTTGTGTGAAATCGGGAACCGTCATAACTTGTAAGCGTGTTATGGAACTTGGGGGCCTAAAGGTTTGCGTTTCATTGGATTGGTGACAGTAAATTAGATCTCTATATTTTAGCTTTCTGTTCAAGATTCGCAGATTTTCAGTATCACTGCATCTTACCCTCCCACAGTTCTTACACCTCTCACACTGAATAGGTCTACTCGGGCTATTTTACTCTACTTTGAGTTTGAGCATTAATTTTTGTCTTTCACATTCATTATATAGGCCTATATATATGATATGAATCATGACGGTCAATATTCTGGTTCTTGGCACAAAACAAGATTCATTTTTATATAGTTTATATATGATGAAGGGAAAATATTAATAAGTCGCACAAGACCCCAGGCGCCATCACTTTCTGTACGTAATCAAGGTTGTAAATATTTGGTTCGTGACTCTTACTTGAAATTATCTCCCAAACCCTCAAATTGGTGTGGAATAACCTTGCTTTGATAAATTGATGGTTTTTATTTCAGCTTTTTAGGGTTCAACAGTATAATAATAATGGGTGTTTCGCGAAAATGGGCTTCTGTGGCGATCACCCGGAAAGTTGTTCCTTTTTTAGAATTCTGAGTTGAGACCCATGGTTTTGGCTTCGATCAGGAATTTGTATCTCATGTAACATCCCCCCCCCCCCCCAATGATATATGTTTGACATTGTGAGTAGTGTTTTAAACAAAAAGTTAGTTTAGTGTGGTAAGAAGCTTGAATATTGTGTATTTTGACAAAGTATTTTTCTAGAATTCAGGATGAATATGTTTGCGGACTTCCATCGCTTGAGGAGAATTTAGTTGTTGATTGAAAGTGACAAAGTCAAACATTGCTCAGTCCCCACATTCTGACTCACACAACTCAACTAGCTGCTAGATGTTTGAAAATTATTTTTTGGTTATTGATCATGGCAAGATTACACATGATTTGTTTGAATTGGATAATGACTTGTCTGTAAAATAAAATTGATCATCAAAAATATCTTTTCAAGGGCAGGGCATTTAAAAGAAATCAGATAATATAGTGTAAAAAGGATTAGACTCTTATTGTTTATGATCTGCAATATCACTTACTTTTACTGTTTTAGGTGATGCATTCCTGAAAGCAGCAATCTCTTTGATACCTGACATGCCAAAGACTATGGATGCAGCAGACGTGAAATCACGTTCCTCTGAGCCCTTCCTGATGGAATATCTGTACAGTTTCATCTCTACACTCTTGGTCACTCCAGTGAGTCGTGTGTTATTTACTAATGGAAATCTTCTATTTAGAGCTGGGGGTTTGTGTACTGGAAAACAATAAAGATGGAGGTTTCAGGTTTGTTCTTATAAGTTTCAGGTCCATTTGACATATCAAGTCTATAACTTACTTGATATATCAGTATCTTTTATTGTGTTGGTTTATGGGAATAAGGAAACATACTGAGACTATTTGTAAAAAGGGTGTCCATATCCAGTAAGCTCTTTTTATTTAGTTGTAATGGTTTTTTCTTTTTTAAATTTCTGACAGATTTTGGGAGGGGGGGGGGGGGAGGAAAGGGGAGAAAGCAAGGTGACAGTTACATGGTTGTCAGTCTTATGTATTCTACTGAAATTGTAAAATATTAAAAGATTTTTCTGGAAAAATACTTAAATTGTTTTCTTTCTGAAATCTCAGAAACTAACTAGTGTCGGAGCATGGCACATATTTGTGCTATGTAGATTTTAGTCACAAAATTTTGTACGAAGCCAATCCCTCTTCTTTATAGATTACATTCAGGGATTTTTAATTGTATTTTAGCTCAGTTGTTCTCAAAATAACTCTCTTTGCAGCAGTCCCATGTTTTGATATAAAAATAAATTTTGCATTTAGCTTCATAAAATCGAAGTTTGCTTTTCAAAGTGTAGGTTTGGATCATATCATTTCACAAATTTGTTCATGGTGGTATGACTGTTAAATGAAAGCTTTAATGGTGGTGTTTTAATACCCTACTAGATACAGTTTTGGTTATTTCAAAGGAAGACAGGGCTGAAAGGAGAAATTGTGCTAGGACTACAAGAAAAAATCGGGGTCCCTCTCAGATTCAAACCCCAGACCTAATCACATTGGTGAAGCTCACACTGTATGCTTCCCAGGAAGTTGAGATTGTTTCAGAATACCATCAGGTCTGCTGGGGTAACTATATAGATTGTAAAGTGCATTGAGGTTGTTGTTGAGCGGGAATGTACGCTATACAAATGCTGTCTATGATTATTTTATTTCTCCCCAGGACAACCCGGACGTGGGTGTGATGTACCTGCTGCGGGGACTGCTGAATGTCCTTCAGGACTATACCTGGGACCAGAACGGCGACTTGAGGATTTTTGTCTACACACGTGTCCTCGCCATGCTCTCCTCCGCAGCTCAGGAGGAATACCTGTACCACTTTGACAAAGGTTTGTTGATGTGGAGGTCTTGGGTAGGGCATGGATTTAATGTCCCTGTCAATGAAATTTCATGAATAGACCTATAATGTGCATCTATCAATTATAGGTGAATTTGTGCGACATTTCCAAGTTGATGAAATTTTGTTGTTTGTACCTGCTTTAGCCTCCGGACCATTTTTGATGCCATATTTTGTCCATTTTGATGTCTCTAAAAATGATCTTAATATGTGCATCAGTGATTCTTGACTGAAGAAGTTTAATAGATGTAACAAAGTTTATGTGTGAGCTATCACTAAATGTGATGTTTTTGATATTACACGCCATGCGTGAAAACGTATTATCCTAAACCTTCAGTTTCCTTCAGTATCTTCCTGTTTCAACGAATTTGGTATCAAAATGATCAGAATGAAAAGTCTTTTGAGACATGGGTTAATTTTTCACTTAGAATCAATATGAAACTTTAGTAATATGTACCTATCAGAAGGCTTTTTCAGCTAGAGGATGGGGTAGGGAGGATTAAAGATAGTGACATATCTACTGCACTTCAGCAGGAGTTGCAATTTTTATATGCAGGTTTATGCTCTTGAGAACATGTGTGATGTTTACTTTGATGCCATGTCTCTGACATCTTTCTATCTTTCTTCATTCTTTCTCTGACTAAAGGGCTGAGTGCTTTTCAGAATATCTGCTTTGTGTCTACTATGGTGTTACCTTGAAATAACCTTGCAAAAGTAGTGTTCGTAATTTTTGTATGAGGTTCTTTTTGCTCTTTGTTTATTTTGTATAGTCAAAACTGAGTTTACTATTTCCTAATTCTCGGATGCATGATCAGGATGCCATTTTTACATTCTTTAGTTGTTTGTTAAAGTTTTAAAAATTCAGTTTTATACACATTGTTTCAGTAATTTTTCTAAAAATTTTTTCCAGTGGATTCCAATGATTCTATGTACGGAAGTGACCCAAAATTCGTAGCAGAAGTGCAATCCATGGCTGCTACGCTCATTGGAGAAATTCTGGCTCATCTGAAAACTATTTCAGCTCCTGAGGTATATTTTGTTTTCTTAACTTTAATTTGTAGAGTGCTCTTGAATACTTGTAGGTAGGGTCTTGATGAGTTAAAACACAATGCACATTAGTATGAAAAAGTCACTTCATTCTGGTGCTATGGTGTTTTGACTCTTTCAGTCTGATTGTTGCTCATATCATTGTTGCAGGGTTCTCTATGGCTGACTCAGTTTCTGTAAATTTTATAGGAGAGTGAAAAAACTAATAAGCAAGGCTTTGATACACATTTGAGCTGTTTAGAGTCCAACATTGTAGCTACTATTTTGATAGGTTAATCTGGCCAAAAGTTATTTATAGGATGTGCTGTTTGATGTCAGTCAGAATTCAGGGAAAAAACAACAAAATCTGCATTATTTGGAGAAAGCTGTTTAGAATCCTGTAGGGGCGATATATGACGAGTCTGCATTTAGAAAAAGCCTGCCTGCTTTGTATTACGTGCAACATACCAGTGCTTCCACTCTTCCGTATTTTTACGGAAATCCGTACTTTCTGCCAGTTCAGTACTTGTCCCTCCATCATTATCTACTGCCTCCGTAAAAAAAACCTGCTACAGCGCAGGACTGCCGAAATTCCGTACTCGCCTTCGTATCGTCTTATATATGTTACGGATATTTACGGTAATTCTCTCGGCAGAAAGTTAAAGTTATAGTAACCTGCCAGATTGCGAATTTCCTGCAATCGGCCATTATTCCGCTATGTCCCATGCATTCATTGCAGGTTGGTCGGCAGTACATTTTTTACCTGCAGATGGATCAAAACCTGGCGAACCATTTGTTCCAATTTCCTCCTTTCTATCATTCACTCATTCGTTCTGTCTATCTTCGGAATTTTTGCCGCGGCTGGAAAATTTGCGCGTTGATCAAGTAAATTGACCTGTGATCTTAGACAGAAAATTACTGTCAGAAAGAAACTTTTCACTGCAAATTTGTCTAGATCTAGAGAAATTATCAATGCGAAGATTCTACGGTACGTGAACGCAATAAGGGCCGCGATGAAAGAAATATATGCTGATACGGGGGTGCCCACAACGGATAGGACCGGCCGATCGCGCTGATCGCCGGACTCGGTCGCCTAAAAAACAAACGTGTTTGTTTTCGTTTTCAGTTTCAGTTTCAGGCGATCGAGTCGGGCGATGGGCCCGATCCAGCTGTAGGTAAAATAAAAAATAATTCGAAGTGGTGTTCCGAGGTTATGACAGGCGACAATCAGACGGGAAAATTGAGAAAAAAAAATTGGGTACACGCTGCACAACTGTATTTTGAAGGTACATCTATTTATTATTCCCAGGTTTGCCTGCTATCAATGGTGTGACGACAAATTAGATCTAATTGATTTATAGTAGCAGTGAAAGGGGAACCTGCTTTTAAACATTGCCAGCAATGGAAAGATATGTTGGTGAAGAAACCAAACAAGACAAAAATGTTGGTGAAAAAATAAATGTTATGGGCTGTAGGAAATCTCTTGAAACAGGCTCCCAAATGCCATTTTCAACCCTCTAAAAGCACTAAATTTCAATTTCTTCGGGGGCTCCGCCCCCTGAACCCCCAACGGGACGCTGTCCCATGACTCTGCTGGGGGCCTCGTGCGGCCCCCAGGCCCCCTGCAGAATTTTCCTTACTTTTCAGCTTCCGCTGGTGGAAGCTCTGCATACTCTGTATTAATTGATAATTTATAATACAGTCCATGCCGGCTTTAAGCACGGTCATCGGGAGAAAGCTTAAGCGTGCTTAACGCCGAAGCGTGCTTAAGTGCGAAGTAGACATAATCCAGTGTTTTTCATGTTGAAAATTTCCCGTACTATTTCCCTTTGTTTGTAAGTAGGCCTATAGCGGTCCCGCAAAAGTGTGCACTGTTTTTTACCCCCGCCATGGTAGTTTTTGTTTGTTTTTGTTTTGTGGTCGAATGGGAAATGAAAGCTTGATTTAGATGGCCAGTCACAATACAGCACACTAGGCCTACACACTACACACTACACACTGCCTGTGCGTACCACTGCCCGCTGTGCCACATTCATACCACCGCCTTCATCCCACCTCGCGCGTGATACACAATCTGTCAGGATTAATTGATAGCGAGGTTCAAAGGTGAAATCGCAGCCAGTCTCCCTTTCTCTTCTCCCCGACTCTCTTTGTATTTTTTTTTGGTCGTGTGTAGCTTTGCCCTAGGCTAGATCCTATGTCCACGCACGTGGCTGTGTGCATCTCTCTGCCTTCCTCTCTGCGCGTGCGAGTGTGTGTCTCTATCACTTGCGTTCTTTGTGTTTCTTTTAACACACTCCACTGCTGCGGTGTAAACTGGGTTCGAACGTCGATGGGTCATCATGAAAATATTGATTGTCTTGTAAATGAAGCGTGCCTTTAGCCGAAGTTACCGTGCTTAAAGGCGTGTAATTTATATAGCAAAAATCGGTAAGAGGCGTTTAGCGTGCTTGAGTCTGAAACGTGCTTAAAGCCGGCGTGCGTAAAGCCGGCACAGACTGTAGTTACATGCTTACTCCACTTAGACATAGCTGATCTTTATGAATTGTATAACTTATTGTACTCTTCTTCTACAACCCAACGTACTAGATCATTGTTGCATATGGAGATTTATGATACACTTTGTCATTTACGAAATGGTAATTCATGAGAGGCAGTTTTGTCAAGTTCAGAAGCCTTTATTATCACACTGAGAGACTGAGATAGCAAGTGTCAATTTCATTCTTTAATGCTGGAAAATGTCAATCAAACTTTGAAGTGTATTCTACAGTACTACAGTGTTCATCATATTTTGTGAGTGTCAACGTCTGATTCCCTATGTTTCAGTTTGCTAAGCGTCAAAGTACTTTAGCCCTAGAGCTGGTTGCAACTTTAATCTGCCATGGAGATTTGAGTCAGACATCAATGGCTTCACTGACCAGCAACCTCTGGACTTTGGCCCAGAAGAATGGGCAAGCAGATGTGAAAGTTATGGTGAGATTTCTTCTTCCATGTACTTTGTTTGTACAACCCAAAGTATGGCTTAACGTTAGGGTCTCGTAAGAGTTTCAAAGATTTTTTTGTTCTGCAAGTACTTAACAGTTTTTGATAAATATAATTACCTTATGGCGTTTAATGCAAAAGTACTTTATATTATAATTCTGTTTAACTTTTTTCCATTTTTTCGGTAGTGCAGTGCTGAACATATTCATGTATGAAATTAGGGAAATATGCTCTCATATCTTTGTTTTCAACTTGATCTTAAAGTAGCAGCTGGGACATCATTCAGCCAAAGAACTAGGCTATGTATTTTTTGTCAATCTGACTGAACGATCAATATGAAGTGAATATATGCAAGTTTAAAAAGCAATTAAACCTGGGAGTTAAGACCACTATTATTTTGCTATACATAAATGTTTACGTACTGTTAACACTGGAGTTTTTGTAAAAAGTTGGATATGTTTTTTGTTTTTTTTTACTTCAAATAGTTGATTGTCTTATTTTAGACCTGGATGTTTTCAGGCAATTGCCTGATTTCCGGCAATAGCATAATGGGGAAATTTTCCTGCCTAAGGCTAACAAAGTGCTCAAATTGTGTGCGAGAGTTGATTGCCGGCTTATCGCCGAGCCTGAATTCTGCCCAACTTACTATTTGTGAATGCAGGCAACCAAAGCTGACATTCTGGCAATGATTGCCTGAACTTAAGTAAAACTGCGAAAGTGAATTGTAATGACGACTTCTCGGCACAGGCTGTGTGCTGCGGTGTGCTTGGAATCTTCATCTTTCTATCAATGGCAGTGTTTATAAACGAAACTTACGCTTTGTACGATCTCTGTGAATCAAGTGTGGACTAGATCTAAATTTCATTGTGAATTTCTAATTACATGTAGATGTAGTTCCAGTTTCTGCAGTGTTGAAATATTCTAGATCTATGAAGATAGATTATTATATCATTAGAACGTCTAGATCTAGAGATTAGATCTAGATCTAGACTATTTTTTTTCGAGACTGATTTCATCATGACTGAACAGTCAGTTCATTGAACGGCCTCAAAATGAAAGCAAACTCACCAGCCTTCCCCCTAACAATAAGAAACAAAATAGATGGTAGAGACAGTTGGTGATCAGGGAATTTTGCTTGCGAGATGAAGGGTAGGCCAACAGTATGATATGCTGTATGGTGAGTAGGCCTACTTTTTTTTATATAGCTTATTTAATGAATCCACATCTTAAATTTTAGGTGGACAATATGTTAATGTTTATCATATGAATTGGATATTGAATATTAGACCCAGATTAATTCAAGGAAAATGTGCCAGGAGATTGGGGTTTAGGTATTGGTGGGGATGTAAATAAGGTGAACAAAATGTTAATTGTTTTTAATTTTAATATAAATTGATATTTATTATAATTCAAGGAAAATGTGATGGGAGACAGGGTTTGGGGCATTAATTGTGATGAAAATTCTTCAGCTTCAGGGAACAAAGTCCCCCTGACCCCCTAGCAGAGCTGCGCCCTGGACCTGTTACTTTAAATTTTCAGGCTATTATGCTGTGCCTTACATCCAGGTCTATTACTTATAAGTTGGGGCTCTCGTGGCCTAGATGTTAAAGTGTTGGCCTCTCATTCAATGGTCCCGGGTTCGAATCCGGGTAGTGACCGAAAAATTTTCTTCTCTCAAATTGTCTCCTTCAACCTCCTTTCCTGCTCTTTAGCAATGTTCTGTCATCTGCTTTCGTCTCCTCTTTCTTCCCCCACCCTCTCACCTCCTTTGCCCCCTCCTCTGGGCTCCTGACTCTTTCTGCAGCCTTTCTACTGCTACTCCTTGGCGCCTTCTTACTGCTGTCTTTCAGCCACACCCCTGATCTTCTGGTAGGAAAGATCTACACCTAACCTTCTCGGACAAGGGCAAAAAATCTCTGAGGTCACGGGTGCGAGTTGTGCTTGTTAAAGATCCCTTGGTGGTCTAAAATCGATAAGAGTAAGCTTCGACCACCACCTGGGCAAGATTCAAAACTTCCTACTAACTGAAAAAGTTTAATGTGTATGTTCATATGACCTTATGCAGTTGCGAGCGACGTAAAACACTTACCACAAAAAAAACAACAACTTATAAGTTATGTGTAGTTGTACTAAAGGGGCCATTTTCTTCAAATAAAAAATCGCTAATCATGACAGGTCCCTCATGTTTTTGAGGTTAGGAAAATCTTGTAATAACCTCTGTTCAGGCAATAGCTACTGTAATTTTCTCATTAGCCTGCCATACCTGTAAACATAATGCAGTCATGGTTTTGTCTGAAAAAAAAATGTACTCTGCTATATTACAATGTTATTGTGAGTTTTCCAGACATTTTATTTACTGGATGTTTTTCATAATTTCCCAGCTGCGACTTACTCACACCACAGTAATATTTTATGTGTGATTGTCGTCTCATTTCCTTCACAGAAAAAACTCCAAGAGAACATCAAGACAAAGGCTGCGGCTGGAAATGCTGGTTGTCAAGCTTTGGCTCCCAAGTTGACTGTGTGATGACTCAGGAAATTTACTTTTAAGTTCTAATGTGTGAAAATGAACAAAAGATGTATGCAGATTGGCCTTTTAATAATAAATGAACTCAGAAGAATTTGTTGATATGTGTATCTTTAATTTCAAGATTAAAGAAGTTCAAAGTCAATATTACCTTTTTTTTTTTAAAGAGTCATCCCTCTCCATGTGAGGGCTTCCTCGAGAGGTGTAGTAACCATGCCATACCACTATGTCAAAACATTAAATGTCACAAGTCATGTGATCGGCAGATACATTCTGTATCATTGTCAAAGCCCCCTTGGGCATTTTGAGTTGCATATGTGGAAAGTTGGATGCATTTAATTTCTATTTAACAACACTCGTCTTTTGGAATGTATCAGTGTGTTGTTATTGGAATGCATGATATGAATGTCAGTTTGATGAATTTGATTACATCTGGATAATGATTGCCTCAGGAATGTATCAATGTCACTTTATGAAAGGGAAGGAAAAGAAGTGCCAGTGAAGTTTAAAAAATGTTGTATGTAAAGTAAGACAGAAAAAGTTTACGTGAACTTCCTTCGCTAAGAATGAAAGATTGTGGCAGTAATACAAGCTGAAAACATATTTCTTCACTCTAGAGCTTGGTTGCTTTTTTATCTTATCCACATTTTTTCATCTGTGTATCCCCTATCCTCCTAATGCCCTTCAAGTATACTCCTACATGCAGATTATGAACTGATTTAACAAAAGCAAATAGCTGTCTGAATTGGGGTTTCTTTCTCTTCTTGCATTAAAAAAACCAGATTCTAGGTCCTATTACTGTCTTTGATAGTTTTGTGCCTTTACTCAGTGCTCGGCTGTATGTCAGCATTTTTGTGTGTGTGTGTGTCACAGTGTGTGTGTGTGTGTGTGTGTGTGTGTGTGTGTGTG